ATTGTCTCAAAAATCAATGTGATTATATGGGAGTTGTGATTATATAGGAGGTGATTATAGAGGAGGAAGACTGTAGTTTAGCACATGTCGATCTGGGTGGTCTTTAATGAAAGCAGCATGAGGTTATAGGCTGGCGTAATTGTGGTGGTGATACAGGAGGGGTAACCTAAATGTATTACTAAATACCTAATAAAAATTTGCCTGTTCGCGACATTGCGAAGATAAAAAAAAAAAAAAAAGTTTTCAACTAACTATCATTGTGCCAACTATTATCATATCAATCAACCAACATATCTAAAATAAACAGAATTTCCTCATCTATTTGATTTGTGGTTTGTAATATGATTCAGAAACTCATATAGAGTTAATCAATTCTTTAACTAACTTTAGATTGTTGATTTGTAGTTTGTAATATGATTCAGAAACTCATATAGAGTTAATTAATTCTTTGACTAACTATCGATTGTTGATTTGTGGTTTGTAATATGATTCAAAAACTCATATAAAGTTAATTAATTCTTTAACTTACTATTGATTGTTGATTTGTAGTTTGTAATATGATACAGAAACTTGTATAGAGTTAATCAATTCTTCAACTAACTATTAATTGTCGATTTGTGATTTGTAATATGATTTAGAAACTTGTATAGAGTTAATCAATTCTTTGACTAACTATCAATTGTTGATTTGTAGTTTGTACAGTAATATGATTCAGAAACCTGTATAGAATTAATTAATTTTTCAACTAACTATTGATTATTGATTTGTGGTTTGTAATATAATTCAGAAACTTGTAGAGTTAATCAATTCGATTAACTATCGATTGTCAATTTGTAGTTTGTAATATAATTCAGAAACTTGTATAGAGTTAATTACTTGTATTGTATAGAGTTAATCAATTTTTTGACTAATTATTGATTGTCAATTTGTAGTTTGTAATATAATTCAGAAACTTGTATAGAGTTAATCAATTCTTCGACTAAGCTAACTATCGTTATACTAATCAACTAATATAAGATTATTACATCAATTATTTATCTAAAGTAGACAGACATTCTTTATCTATATCTATTAATTGTTAAATTATCAAATTTTTAATTTGAGTCATATAATAATTTATCTGTGATTAATTTGTCAAATTGTGGCATTTAGTATATCAAATTTTTTAATTTTTATTGAAATAGTTAACTTTTTTAATTCATCTATATATTGATTGTTATTTAATTGTCGATTTGTAATGTAATAGTATGATAGTTATCAAATTTGTTAATTTTTTTGTTGCCAATAGTTGAGGCATATATTGGTGATTAAATTTAGCATTTAATATGTCAAATTTTTTGATTTTTACTACATAATATAGATTTTTTTAATTTATCAGTATATATTGTAGTCAGATTATAGCATTTAATTTGTTAAATTTTTAATTTTTATTGAATTGTAGTATTAAATTTTATAATTTGAGTCATGTAATAATTGTCGAATTTATTAATTTTAAAATTATTGAATTTTGATATTTTATATATAGACTTTTTTTTTAATTCACTAATGGTTGAGGCATATATTGATAATCGAATTGTAGCATTTAATATATCGAATTTTTTATTTTTACTATATAATAATTGTTGAATTGTGGTGTTGAATTTATAATTTGTTATGTGATAGTTGTCAAATTTATTAATTTTAAAATTGTTGAATCTTATATTTTATACAGCGCAGACAACCTAGTCCCGACCAATAAATTTTTTAGCGGCCAAATATGAAATATTACGTAATGCGGCCAAATTTGATATTTTTATTATGTAATCATGTGACGCGGCCAAATTATGTACGTACGTACGTACATAGCCAACCATTTTGGCAAATACAGGTTTTGTACTAAGCATTCTAAATTTATTGAATTGCTTCGCTCTATCATCAAATAAATGAATTTTAGAAATAAAACTTTATTATGCAAGATATTAAAGTCAATTCGCACAACATAATGAAAATTACAAAATTGAAAATTCACTTAAAGCAACGTTGAAAAAACATTAAATCTATACCCACTTTCCCACTAATTACTTTTTCAGTAAAAGCTCATTTTGATTGTTCTAATCGATTAATTTACACATTTTAAAATTTGAAGTGCAGATCATTCTTCTATATAGTGACTCCGTTAGATTTGTTTAAGTATGGATTCAATCAGTTACATCGGTCGTCGATTATTGCTGGTTATTACCAAATATGTAATTTACCTTCGAATATTCTTTCTTAATCTTTATTATGACAAATTTTAACATGTTTTACCATAAAGTGGATAAATAGATAACCTGAAAAATTAAAATATGACTATACGGCTATATTATATAAGTTAGCCACTTTACTCTTCCGATTTAAGTTATAATATTTACTATCTAATATTTTCAAAGACTTTCTTGTTCTGTATACTGCACAATAATTAGTGTCACTTCGGATCTTTAGTTATTCCACAAATTGCAATTGCTGAGACACTGCTGTGTTTATAAAAGCTAATAATAATAATATCCTGATCCGTCAAATATAATAAAAATGTTAATTTCGCTTATACACAGTTCAGGATATTATTGTTCATTAATTTAAAGATGACTAAATTATTCGTCTAACGTGGTCACTAATGATGTTGTTATTTAGCCGTAGCAACATGATCAAAGTGACACAAAGAGTAGCCTGTTTTTAAAAAATTAAAGAATAAACTTTCTAACCTAAAAAGTAAAGTAATTAAATCCATAGCCAAACAAAAAAATAAAATCTAAAATAAGTGAAATCTTGAATGGGGCATGTGAAAGAGCATGCGAAATTTCAGTAGCTTCGAATTCACAAGAAAAAGAAAAGAATAGTAAAAACTCAATGAAAAAAAGGAAATAAATGAAAGTACCCATATTACGCCTTAATAGATCAAATTGATAAATTTTAATAATGTAATGAAAAATATAAAACGACAATAATATTAAAAAAACTGACCATTCGGTTAGAAATAATTTACTAAATTCATACTCTATTAGTATCAATCCAATATGCCGCGCCCAACAAGCCGTCAAAAAAAATCAAGAAAGGCTTATGAAGCAAAGGCACATAAGCTTAATACTAATGTAAATAATTTTGAAGCAGAAAGTTCTGATGATATTGACAGTCTTTCTGCTTGTGACGAGGTAGTTGATAATAATGATGCTGCGAACATCATGAAGAGGCTTCAAGTAGTAACTAAAAAATATAGCCATAATGATGATAATGTTGAGCTAGAAGATTATGATAGTGATGACGGCCTTCCTGCTCATAATGAGCTAATTGAGAATGATGATGCCGAAAACATTGTAAAAAAACTTCAAGATGCTGCAAATAAATATTACCGGGAATGTGATTCTAACCAAACCCGTAGACTACGTTATTTAGGAAACTCAGTTCGCACTAAAAGAAGAAAAAAACAGCAACAACGTGAGGCAGCGAAAGGAACCCCTACATTACATACTTTCTGGGCCCAAAAAAAATCTTCTGAAGAAACTAGTGAAGCAGAATTGTATGATGATGTTGATGAACGGTTAGAGAATGAAAGACAGTTAGAAGAATTTGATGATGAACAGTTGGCGAATGAAGGATGGTTGGAAGAAGTTGATGAGAATGATATTGGAGGAATGTCGGAGGATGAGATTGAACCCCATAATTGGAATAAAAAAATCTCAACTGCCCTTGAAAACTTAACATTAGATATCAAAAAAGAAAATGTAAAAAGTGAAGTTTGGGTGCGTCTTAATAGCATCCGTTTTTATCTCCAGCTTGTAAAAAGCAACCACCAAAAAATAAAAGCAAGTAAAATAATTGCTGATGCTGCGGGAAAAGGGGTATACCATGCTAAATGCATTCGTTCCTGGGCACATGATTATGTTATGACACGCCAGATTCCCTACTCTCGCCGAGGACACCATGCCAAAACATGGAGCTTTCTCTGGGACGAAGATATTCTTCTTCAAATAAAATCGTATGTTCGAGAAAATAAGTGGAATATTACACCACACATGATCATGTTACAAATGAATGAGATCATTTTACCAGGGCTAGGATTTGCTCCTCCTCCAACCATCTCTCTTAGTACCGCAAAAAATTATTTAAAAGAGCTTGGATACACATATGAAAGGGTGAAAAAAGGTGCTTATGTAGACGGACACGAGAG